GAGCCTCTCTGCTACTATGATGCTGCTTGGCCTGCTGTGTTCATCCAGCCCTGCACCTTGTTGTCTCGGATTCTCCAGCATCTGCAGTTCCTACTATCTCTCTTGGTCTAAAACATTCTTGCCCATAAACTACCCCTGCCAAATCCCACTGATTCACTGTGCTGATCTCATTGGCTAATACTGGTGCTCACTAAGCTGACAATTTAAACTCAACATACTCATCTTTGAGCTGAAATTCTTCCATAGCCTTATCTCCCCCTTCATGGCAACATCAGCACTCATGCCTTCAGCTAATTAGATCCCATTCTCTGGATCTTCCACCTTAAATTCTCCAATTAGCCACTTCTCTCCCCCACTCTGAAGCATGATTTTTTGCATATCCCTCTTCTGTCATTCTTTGGAGCAGCATATGTATTTTACTCAAAGCTCAAACATCTGGCCATATATCACTATTTAAAAAAGCAATTTAGAGATACACATTATTAGCCGTTAAGCAAACACTCTGGTTGTTTCTGCAAAAATATTTGGTATAGGGTGTCTAATTAATTAATAAAACATTGACATTACCTACAATGGTAAATATGTCAGAAGATATGCATACTTTCAAAGACTGCAAACACTAAGATGGAAGCTAATTTTTGTTGATCAAAGGTAAAACAGTGCTAATTACATTGAGATAAGAAGCCAATTTGGTCTGTTAGGCAAATATTTATGCAAATTAAATACATTCAGATGTTATTGTCCCATGCAGTGGTAATTAGAAATTGTATCTTCACACCATTAAAAAAAATTTAGGAAGTTTAGCTTGTATGTTAAAGAAAATCTACTAAAACCAACCAAACAAAGATTACTGTGTTAAACATATCTTTGTGCAATTTGCTTTTTAACCCCCCCGCCCATTAATTATCTTCTATAATAAGAGGCTCTGAAAAGATGTAACTACTTGAAAAATTTTGAGCCAAATAAAATAATAAGGATAACCTTTGAGGGAAATATAGAAGGATTTCTAATTACATAAAAGGCATATTGTTTTAGAATCCTTGGGTGAAATTACAGGACAATTTTCTCGCAAGAATCTACTTCCTAGGTCAGGCTCTGTTTTACTTGACAGCATCAAATAATTGTATCAAGACTGTAACTGTAAACCTGCAATACAACCAAAGTTTATATTTGTGTCTTCAGCATTGTGGTTGCTTTCCTTTTGGCTGGTGATGTGCACCAAAATCATCAGTCTTAGGCTAGTGATTGCATCAAATAGATTTTCACTCATTTCAATAACCACCAAAGTCAGAATAGATAGAATATCATGCAGGAAGCCTGTAATTCGGTTGAGGAGTTTTGATGCCATGTGTAGCAAAGCCAAAATGTTAGTGTTCAATTGATATAATTAATTAACTTATTAAAATAATTGCAAAGCTCAAGGTAAAAGTCTAAGATTTCAGGATTTTTATACAGTCTGTAATTTAGTGATTTTATAGGATTTCTGTTTGATGATAGGAGTGACGTTAATAGTTGCATCTGCTGCCTCTGTGTCTCTTAAGTCAGTGGTCTCCCTTCTTTTAGGGGAAGGATCACTTTTTGAATTTAAATGTAACCCAGGATCTAGTTCAAAGAAAACATGGAATAAATAATTTATTTTCAAGCTATATAAATTTAAAACCAACCATAAATTCATGCTATCCTCTACTCAAGTCTAATTTGATACCTGTGACTGCATATTATTTGTTAGTGTCTTGAAGTCTGGGTTGTAGATTGAACCTATTAGTCATACACAGTCCATAAAACGGGTATCGGTGAGGTGGGTGCGATATATGGACTTGATTACCTTCTTTTACAAGAATGTTCTCTTTCACAAGTGAAGTCCAAGTAAGTTTTCATTTAAAAAGCACAGGAAGATAGGGGTGGGTGTTTTATTGAGTCCCCAAAAATTGCTGTCCTTTTATCTATCTTTTAACTCACTACCATTTTGTATAGCAATTATCTCCATAGTGACTCCACTCGTTCATAAATCAAACGTCTAATGGAATTTGATAGCCAACCTACCAATGTCTACTTCAAGGAATGGATTTGAGACCAATACAACTATTTGCTTCATCACATCTAATTCCTAAAATCCTCTTCAATTTTTTTTGCTAACTTCCTCAGGTCTTGTTCTAAATTGTTCTAACTTGATTCCACTGCAGGTTCAGTCTTATAGCAAGTACAGATGACAATGAGTTGCAAGAGATTTGTTGTATTGTATTGAAACTATCAGTCATCTTAAGTATTCCACTGCCTACAATGTGTTCTATAACCTTCAGAGCTTCAGGAACCTCTCTGTATTTGTAATCTATAGCTGTAAAACAGCCGTACATCTCCCGAGTGTAGTTTTGGTTGTATAGCAACGAATTGATCGGAATAAAAAATAGCACAGATTGTCTTAAGATAAAAGTATTATGATTTCTGCCACTGAACTTGAAATTGACAAACATGATTGTTTGTTTTTAATCATAGCTTTCAATGGAAAAGTAGAACATATTTTCTCCATACCATGGAAACATGGGTGCTATCAATGGCATTTTGGACTGAGATTGCAACATCCACCTTCTCACATTGCTGCGGTAATCCATGGGCAAAAATGAAAGATTTCTACACCTCTGCATTGCCGAAATGGTGACACTCTGATGTTAAAATCCATAACCAGAGGTCTGTAACAAACCTCAATTCCAATGACCAAATGTGCTATGCACGAAATGGACTTTTAACTTTAAGCTGAATTGCAGCATGTTGCAGAATCCCTAAGGCACCTGTCTAAAGAAACATTTATTCTTAGTTAA